GGATACACCTCGCGGATATACAACAAAACAGCCCTTACTGTGACCTGGTACACGCGACCCTTAATACCGAGTGATATGCCTCCCTTATCCAGGTAAGGGCAACCTGGCAGTATCCCAGCCCTCGTGCAACCTTCGAATGGCATGGCAGTTAGGCACCGAAAGGGTGCTAGTGCTGAACGAACGCCTTTTTTACGCCACAAGTGACGTAAATTAGCAAATGTGGTTCAAAACTTCGAGTTTCTTTCGCTGACTTCCTCAGACACAGAGCCACAGCCTCCAGTGATTCTCTTCGAATTCTTAGGAGAATGTTCAGGGACTGTATGTTCTCGAGCATGACTTTACACTTTGAAGGTGCTAGGCGCATGCCGAAAGATCGTATGATGGACACTTTGTTCAACAGAGCTCGTGCCACGGCATTATCTTCAAAAAATGAGGACAATGTAGTCCGCGCACTCAGGGGCGTCTCACCGGCAACAATTTTTACACCGGGATTTTAAAGACCTTGCAGCATTCGCCTCAGTACTTCATCATGGATGAAAATCCATAATGATGGGAAGATTGGACATTCTTGTTGGACACCACAGTTGTGGGCATGTCTAACAAACACTCGAGGTGTGTGGAGATTTCGCCGATCCACGCTGAAAAGCCGAAAAGCACTGTACAGCTGACACCACAGTGGCATGTCTAACAAACACTCGAGGTGTGTGGAGATTCCGCCGATCCACGCTGAAAAGCCGAAAAGCACTGTACAGCTGTTTGTTTCTTATGAGGAATCATCAGCAGTGCGTATCAGCATAGATTGGCTTCACTTACAGGACGAAATCTCTACAAAAATCCCTAATCTCCTCACACTACCAACAATCTGTAAGTAGCTCAGTGGAAGGATAAACTTCACCCGATCAGTGAAACCTCTATCTGAGAAGTGGTTACTCGACGAGCCAGTGACCACGTGTGAAGAAGCGGTGTGGCAAACGAAGTATCCGTAGTTCAGTGATCGCATCTTTTCGGCAAGTCATGAATGACTTTTACCATTCCAAATTAACGAGCGAGCACGAACGGAAACGGAATGCAGATTCAGAAATAAGACAGCCAAAAGTCTGACTTCTAGCCGTGTGATAAGAACGGCATTTGGCTGTGGATACAATCAATCGATGGTTGTTAGTTCAATCGCGTTAACCGCTTCTATGCATACAGAGTTGGGCTAAAAAGACTTGCAGCGGTCGAATCGGCTGCAGTCAACCACTCAACTACTTTTGATCGACTCTTTGGAGTCGGATAGATGATGCCAAGTGATTCATTCGGATCGGTCTGGTGGCCCGAATCCACCAAATGGTTCGAGGATCGCGTCATTGCAAGGCTAATTAACCCTCTTTCCGAAAGAGTTCAGGTAATAGTCTTGATGCTGTGTGACGAACTCCAGACGGTTTATGGAGCACATCTATTGGTGAGTCGAGGACAGACTATTTGCGTTTTAGCTTTGTACCGAGCTTTCGGCCAGTGGAATTAAAGGTTCTGAGCAACTGTTGATCCCATAGCGAGATGGCCAATTTACTGATTGGAAAGTTCGTGGTTCGAACCCGAAGAATGCCTCTCGAATTCCTCTGTCTAGGCTTTGGCAACCTGGCAGTATCCCTGCCCTCGTGCATCTCCCGGGTGACATGGCAGCTAGGCACCAAAAGGGTGTTAGGGCTGAACAGTTGATGCCGTCTGCAGTGACCTCTGTCCTCAGAGGATACACCTCGCGGATATACAACAAAACAGCCCTTACTGTGACCTGGTACACGCGACCCTTAATACCGAGTGATATGCCTCCCTTATCCAGGTAAGGGCAACCTGGCAGTATCCCAGCCCTCGTGCAACCTTCGAATGGCATGGCAGTTAGGCACCGAAAGGGTGCTAGTGCTGAACGAACGCCTTTTTTACACCACAAGTGACGTAAATTAGCAAATGTGGTTCAAAACTTCGAGTTTCTTTCGCTGACTTCCTCAGACACAGAGCCACAGCCTCCAGTGATTCTCTTCGAATTCTTAGGAGACTGTTCAGGGACTGTATGTTCTCGAGCATGACTTTACACTTTGAAGGTGCTAGGCGCATGCCGAAAGATCGTATGATGGACACTTTGTTCAACAGAGCTCGTGCCACGGCATTATCTTCAAAAAATGAGGACAATGTAGTCCGCGCACTCAGGGGCGTCTCACCGGCAACAATTTTTACACCGGGATTTTAAAGACCTTGCAGCATTCGCCTCAGTATTTCATCATGGATGAAAATCCATAATGATGGGAAGATTGGACATTCTTGTTGGACACCACAGTTGTGGGCATGTCTAACAAACACTCGAGGTGTGTGGAGATTTCGCCGATCCACGCTGAAAAGCCGAAAAGCACTGTACAGCTGTTTCATCCTTATGAGGAATCATCAGCAGTGCGTATCAGCATAGATTGGCTTCACTTACAGGACGAAATCTCTACAAAAATCCCTAATCTCCTCACACTACCAACAATCTGTAAGTAGCTCAGTGGAAGGATAAACTTCACCCGATCAGTGAAACCTCTATCTGAGAAGTGGTTACTCGACGAGCCAGTGAACACGTGTGACCGCGTGATGTGGATCCCGTGATTGAACGATGAGCGGCGCTATATCCTGTCTAAGTGCGAGTTAATCACACTGCTGATCAGCCACTCGTGGCCGAACGGTTAAGTGTTCAAACTACTAGCCGGGAGGTCGCAGGTTCGAGACTCTTCGGAGTTTTCGTGAGATACGCACTGCTGATGATTCCCAATAAGGATGAAACAGCTGTACAGTGCTTCTCGGCTTTTCAGCATAGATTGGCTTCACTCAAACAACGAAATATCCACAAAAATTCCCAACCTCCTCACACTACCAACAAACACTCGAGGTTCTGTGCGTCACAGATAGACGAACATGGAAAATCTTAGCTGACAAGAATGGACATGAAACAAAAGTCAGATGAGCAAAGTGGATGTTATGGGAACACAGAAAAGGCGATGAGGACCAGTCGTTCGGCTGTAACACTCAGTGCCCAGTCGAAAAGCATGGTCACAGACATAAAAAGTGAATGCAAGCGATGAATGCGAGATTATCAGTCTGTCTTGAACTCGAGACAGCTTAGTGAGTAATGCAAGAACTTACTGACCAGAAGGTATGTGGTTCGAATTCAATCCCGGCGAATCGACTGATCTTGTATGGCATTAGGCGAAGCGCCTGCCTTCTTCAGGTGGCATGGCAGTTTGGCCCCGAAGGTGTCTTACGGCCGAACGATCATTATCCACATTTACCTTACAAACAGTTAGGGGCATCAACCCACCCATAGCGGTAAGGACCGGAGATGATCGGAATAGGGCTTAGGATATCATAGTTAGAATGGAAAGCAGAACACTGGATTTATGGTATGAACGATGAATGGTGTCATCTCTCCTGAAATAAATCATTTCAGCACGCAATTCGGGATCTCTTCGTATCGAACCGAACTGGATCACATGCTCAGTAATGGTTGCCTAGATAACTTTCAAGAATTTGGATGTTCCATGCTGAATGGAGTTGATAACGCCAGGAAAACAGAGGGCTATTAATGCCTATGCTGCGAGGGGGTGAACGATTGTTTGAAAAAAATACCCGGGGTCAAGGGTTCGGAGGAGGGAAGGTAAATTGACTGGCTCGTTCCGGACATTCGACCTGAAGGAAACATGAGGGCTGGGTTGCCGAAGCCTAGACAAGGGGAGTCGAGAGGCAGAGGTCGAGGCGCGGTCAGAAAACTCGCGCTCCAACCACGGAGCCATCTCGCAGTTTCTATTTTACATTGAATCAGTGGCACGTGACGGAAGCTGGTTTCACATCATGATGATACAGTTGTAGTAGGCAAATGGCGGTGAGGTATTTCACTAACAGCCTACTTACTGGACAAATTTGTGACGAGCATGGTGGTAGTTAGTCAGTAAACCGATATAGGACTTCAGGGATTTAATAATTCAGTTGCACAACGATCAATACTGGAGTCCGCATCGTCTAGATAGATGAACACGCCACAGGTGAACCGCACCCATAAGCCGTCAATCGATTTCCTACGTTAGCTTCTCATCGCATCACTGCAATAATAAGCAGCGAAACGTCACAGTCCACACCGTTCCTGCCCACTAGCTGGTGGTGACAGGTTTGAGTGTTAGCATAACACAGTTTTCCTGTAATACCGACCAGTTCTGCGTCACAAGTGGAACACGCTGAGAACCCGGCGTGCATCGGCGCCGCTACAACACTGAGTGGATCGAAAAAGGGGCTAAAATCGCGGTGGGATGATTTGAGTAGTCAGGTGACCGCCGAACTCTCCGGTGTATGGAACACATGCGACGACTTTCCCCATCTCCCAAAAGAAAACAAATTTGACCAACCGTTGCCGCCTTGCAATCAGGTCTTTGAACATAAGCTTTGGTTGAGGATATTTGTCAACTTCCTAACTACGCTTGGTCTACCGCACAGTCTTAGGAAAAACAAAGTAAAGATGCTGGATAAGGAGACACTGATAAAGAAAGCAGCCTGGTGGAAGAATTGGGTGTTAATTCAGAATGACGAGTCTGACCACGGATTAGGTGGGAGGCAGTAAACGTTACAGACTAGAGTTATTACAAGGGTTTGAATGAATTCCCAAAGGGTTTTGATTTTCTGTGTGGTGTCAACGGCAAGCCCACAGTGTGTGGAGAAGGCCTAGGCCTTGGGGTCTACGAAAGGTTAAGGATAACACGATTGGTTGGCGTTTCAAGTCGAACCAGCTGGCTACATACACATATTTAGATAGATGTCCGTGAATGACAATCGCTTACCTAGAAACAAAGATGACATCGCACAGTTTAACCTTCATACCAATCAAAGACGAATCAATATCAACTTATGCCATGCAATGGAGGTAACGATGTGCCCGAAAAACAATATAAGCAAAGCAAGACATGGCAAAGAAGCTCTTCACGCACTAGTTCTATGAAACTTACTGTACGAACTGATGGCAACAAATAAGCCAAAACTCGCAAGTGGTGTTCTTTACGGCATCCAGGAATTCACCCTCATCACATAGACCAGCCGAGGAATTGCAATCTCCTGAGCATCTTCTCTTGCGGGAGGACAAGTCAGCCGCCAGCGATGAAGCACCGGTCGTAGGGTGAGGACGCATCATAAGAACCCCTTCAGCTGAATGACTGGCACAACTGGGGGAATCTGACAGACCAGTTATCGATCCGAGCAGTTGTGCAGAGTCACGCCTCGTTAGAAATGCAAGAAAACGAGCCCATCGATAGGCTCCCGATTTCGATCTTAGACGATGCAAAGTTGTGATCACCGGTTCAGATTCCGAAACTAGAGGAATGAACAACAAGGGAAGGAGTTGACAGATATTGCACACGGCTCCTCCGGTATTTTCAAGAAAATGGGGCGGAAACAAACCCAGCAAGCAAAACTAACGTTCGATTAATTTACTCAAAACGAACATTATGAGCACAACTCACGTGTTGTGGCGAGTTTACAGTGATACCTGTTAGGGGATGATCCGATAGCACATGAATCCAAGTTACCTCGGAGAAGTGACCAGATTATCTCTGGGCGTAGCACCTACTCACATTGGTAAATGCTCCCCAAGGGAGACTACCTCCGATCAAGATCGCTTCACTCAGGTTGCATGAGATGCATCACCTGAATATTCACCAAATCTACCAACAAAGTTCATTTCAGATGTCTTCGTTACACAAAGTTCGCTTCCGTGGAAAACACGGTGTGAAACAAATGTGCGTTGAGCTCTCGCGTGTTCTGAAACCTGTGACACAAAGACAAAATCGTCCACAAAACGGTGCTGATGATGTCTGGGGACGAAAAAGTTGCTCGTATGGTGGATGAAGGGCGTTCTCTCCCGAATTAGCACCAGTCAGTATTCGTACCAGGTGTATTTGACACGTGACAGGGGTCGTATGGAACACTTATTTTATTCAAGGGGGGCGAGATGGCCCAAGTGGTTAGAACGCGAATTTACTGGCCAGAAGGTCCGTGGTTCGAACCCGACCCCCGCCTTCGAATTCCCCTGTTTAGGCAACCTGGCAGTATCCCAGCCCTCGTGCAACCTTCGGGTGGCATGGCGGCTAGGCATCGGAAGGGGGCTACAGCTGAGCGGTTTTTTATTGATTCAAGATGCCCTGCGCCTCATACGTTTGTTTTAAGAGGGAACTGCAAGTGTGTGGCGAAAATTCAATTACCTGCGGTACGAAAGTGATCAATAACTTTCATCCACACTGTGTGGTTCCTGTCATAGTGCGTTCCTGATTCAGAAGCCCCGTATCGGTTATTCTCTTTGACACAATGTATCAAGTGGAGTTGAGCAAAACTAGCGATCAGCTAGAAAGCCCATTTGATGGAACGTAAACATAAATTTTTAGGAGATACCTGAGTGAGTTATATCTTTGTTCAAAATGGCCAAAATAAAACCTGTTGATAACGTGACGTTATAGAAACCAGCCATGGGGTAAATAATCATCAACGCAAGTCTGAGAGGAAGTGAAACGGGACCAGTGACCAGTTCAACTTTTGAACCAAATTTGAAATCACTGAGCGTAAATCACCAGGTGTAGCACCATTTCAGCACCTAGCTGCCACGACACCAGGAAGCACGAGGGATAGGATACTGCCAGGTTGCCCAAGTCTAGAAGGGGAAAGTAGAGAGGCAGAGGTCGGGTTCGAACCACGGACATTTCGGTCGGTTAATTCACGCTCTAACCACTGAGCCATCTCGCCCCAGTTACGAGGTTTAACAAACAATGATGAAAGAACTCAACGATGCAGGAATGTTTTAGTTATTCATGTGTCCCTTCTTGAGGAGTACGAAGTTTAGGACTTTTCTGAGACCCATCAATTCGCAAGAAACATAGTGAGCGAACAATTGTAAAAAAAAATGCTACCGCTTATTCGATTCTTCTAGTACAGGGAGTTTGGAAAAACCCTTAGCAACGGAGTTTCCCAAGGTATCCGCTGAACAATTAGGTATAAACCCATCTGTAATGTCATTCCCATACCCTGAAAAAGCAGTTCTACTGTCCGACTAATCATATCTCCATTTGTCTGCTCCTCGGAAAGTTGGGGAATGAATGGCATTAGTTAATAGGGCAAGGACGATGGTCGATTTAATGGGGAACAAGAAAACCATGAGAGATCAATGGCTGGCTGATAAACAGACAGATACAGTTGTCTCCGGCTTCCTGTCGAGCCAAAAATAGAGCACTGACGTCATTGTCTGCTAAAAATCGACAGGCAAAATGTCAAAGTTGGGGAAAACCTGTGTAGATAAGTGGAAACTCTGGGGATTAGTCTGGTAGAGTGTGGCAGCAACCGAATTAAACCAACTGAAAGGACCAACCAACAGATAGTCACATTTGAGAGGAAATCAGTCACAAATGGATGGTCTTTTTCCTAAACAAAAAAATGAGTGATGTTACCGTGCGCGAATTACTTGCAGCGCCTTCTAGCTTGTTTTCCAACAATGATGGTAGAGGCTTTTCTTTTACTGATTAGATTCGTCCCGAATTCGTGGATCATCCAGGCTGAAGAAAACGTTTCTCGTGTAGTGTCATCAAAAGCGTTGTGAATTCTTAGCCCCGAATTAATTCGGGGCTACACTTGTCACGTTACCAAGTCCTTTTGTTTGATCCACAGTGTTTGAATGGCTCTTTGAACCTGTCCATTTCAAACAAGCTCCAGGTTAGGTTCCCCGTATCGCCCAGCTGTAACACCCTCCCGGTGCCTGGATGCCATGCCACCCGAGGGAAGCACTAGAGCGGGGATACTGCCAGGTTGCTCAGGCCCAGACAGGGGAAGTCGGGAGGCAGAGGTCGGGTTCGAACCACAGACCTTCCGGTCAGTAAATTCGCGCTCTAACCACTGGAGCCATCTTGCCCCCTAGGTTCTCCATTCTCTCGAACCATTGCAGTACTTTTACTATTCGGTCATCTACCAAGTTTATTGGTGACAATGATGGGTATTGTCAGTAAATCAACTTAGTTCTATCGAATTTTCAGATCCGCATGTTGTCATTCACTGTGAAAGTGAACAAAAACACTTAGCACGATTCTCCATAGATAGTGGGCATTCCCATACAGCTATCGATTTGTGCTGAAAAGCCGAGAAGCGCTCTATAGCTTTTGTTTACCGAAAATCATCACAAAACACGATGAAGTCTCGAACCTGCAACCGCCCGGCCACCGCCTAACCGTTTGGCCACGAGTGGTGTGCGATTAACTCACACTTTATCAGGGAAATAACGCCATTCAGTGAAATCCACATCACGTGGTCGCGTGTTGACCGGCTTCCCGAGTGACCGCTTTTTTTCGATGGAAGGCTCACGCAACCCGTGGATTGTTCCTCCTGGTGAGCTACCTAAAGTCGGTTGATAGTATAAGGAGAATTGGAGATTTTAACCAACATTTCTTCCCCGAAGTTAATCCGTGTCCAAAAACAGACGAATTATCAAAACACAGCTCATCATCATCATCACCACCATTGTCAGCTGTAATAACGGCGTACTTGTCGTACAGTGGTTGTAGCTGCAACAGGTTCGTTCACAGATGATTCGGGGAGGTGGGGTAGAAAAAGAAAGCGTTCAGCTGTAGCACCCTTCCGGTGCCTAACTGCCATGCCATCCGAAGGAAGCACGAGGGCTAGGATACTGCCAGGTTGCCCAAGCCTAGACAGGGGAAGTCGAGTGGCGGAGGTCGGATTCGAACCACGGACCTTCCGGTCAGTAAATCCGCGCTCTAACCACTTGGGCCATCTCGCCCAACTTTGTTCCTCAGAGTTTAACTGCTGTTGGAATACCTAAGTGGAGCGATGGTGGGGTAGGTAGCCGCGCATTATAGTCATGAGCTGATAAATTAGTGCGTAAATATAGTACTGCAGGCGGACCGTTAACTGGGGGGAATGGGAGAGGGGCTATGCATTGAGGGCAATAGCTTGGATGCAAGAGCGCCAGTAAATACGCGACTGGGCCATGTCTGACAAAGTCTCTAATCACTGATGTGATCCGTCTCGTGGTCCCCATCCAGGAAGACGGCAGTGACCAGCGCAGCTGAGTTTGTTGGTGATGGCTTTCACACTTCGGTGCCAAGTCATTGTTGGACCGCCTCTGGTTCTCTTCCACCCTTCACGTGGTTGTGAGAAAAGTGCCTTTAGAGGGAGTTGGTCGACTGGTACATGCAGTACGTGACCAAGCCCGGCGCAACCCATGCAGTGTGATCAGTTCATCTATCGAGGGTGAGTTATTTCTCCCGAATACCATTCGACGAACTTCAGCATTGCTGATCCGGTGTTCTCACCAGATTCGGGTAATGCTCCGGGGACATCGATGGTCAAACACAGAAACCACGGCTAAAACTGAACGAAACCGAAACCAGAAATCCGAGCTTCCCAATTCAGTGGATTTTTCCGTTGGAGTCTGCTTAAACACCGTTGTGCGACCAAGCTCCTCCAGAGCTCCGGAACTGGTGAGAACGCTAGTTGGAATTTGGATGTTGTGCCTTCTTAGACCCCAGGTCTACTATCAACGAAGTTTCGGGGAAGTTCAGAGGTTCCTAGTGAAATTCAAACATCTGCCATGGTTCGGTCTGGAATACTGAACGCCGGTCATCAGTAACGACATGAAAGTTCAGTACTGTGAGATCAGTTCCCTCGCCCTACAAATGAAACAAAACGCCACCAGTGAGCGAGACGCGATACGCCAACGAGTGGCCAACATCTTTTTCCCTATTATCAGAATAGTTTCGGCCGAAAGGAAAAGCAAAGTGGTCTTTTACTCATTATTCTACCATTTAGCTGGATTTATCAACGATTTAGATCAGGGAATTAGAATTAGGCGCCAGTTTCTATTCGAAACCGGCGCTATTTTTGAAAACGCGCGATCCATTGTTGGGAAAGGTAAAGACCTTAACTGAAGAGTTCATTTCATTTGTACACTGTATATATACAAACAAATATTTCATTTTATGTCCTAGTTATGAAAGCACCCTGTGGTTGGAGAAATCGCCTGTCTAAACCCTAAGAACGGTGTAATGAGGATAGATTGTAGTGGCTGTAGATTGTGTGTACGTGGGTCACATGACAGTACAACTAGAATTGCGCCAACTTCGAGATAGATAACTACGTTTACCTGATCGTGAGGAGTCAGCAAGGAGCACATAGCTGTGGCGGATGTGAATTGATTGCTTGACTGTGATTCTCTGACGCAGCATCTGAATTTCACGTTATGACACAGACGAAAAACGTGGCTGATTCAGTTTTGACATCCGTGCCTCTTGACCACGGTGAACCGGCGACCATCATCATCG